TTTGCTTGACATTACTTTCATAAGGAGAGGTTGCGCGATATTTTTCCCGTAGATGAAAAAGTAGCTTGCTCGATATTCTGTTGGGGATTTACACAGCCCCCTTCAATTATTTAATGGTCCACCTGCGGCCTAATTCTTTTTGGTCTTGGAATGACCTATCACCTACATGCCCTATCTCCTTTGGCTCTCGTGACATGAAAAATGGAATAGAATAAAAGGTCATTCGGCTGCACAACCAAATAAGTCTGATGAACTGTCCCCATTGTTTTCCAGGAGCGAACGTGCCAGAAGATTGGAAAGGCTCGCTTAACATCACATACAAAGTTGGTCCTGGTCTGTCGCAAGGCATGCGCGTTAGGCTTGAGATCAACAATCAACTCGAAGTGAAGTCAATCTTCAATGTCATTGGTACCATATTTGGCAAGCAGGAGCCGGATCGATATGTCCTCGTGGGTAGTCATAGAGATTCGTGGGTGTTTGGCGCTGTCGATGCTGCTAGTGGTACAGCCGCTATGACTGAGATCGCTCGTGGATTAGGAGAACTTCTGAAAAAGGATTGGCGTCCAAGACGAACAATGAAGTTCTGCAGTTGGGGAGGAGAGGAGTTCAGTCTCATCGGGTCAACGGAGTGGGTTGAGCAACACTCCAAGGATCTAGCAGAGAGAGCTGTTTCTTACCTTAACATGGACACTGGAGTCGAAGGGAACTTTGTTTTGTCGGCAAAAGGAAGTCCCCTGATGATAGAAACCATGACATCACAACAGAAACTCGTGACAGATCCAAATGCCCACGACGACAAAGAGACCATGTACGACATCGGGGTTGAGAGAAATCCTTCACCAGAGGACCCCAAAAAGCCGAATTTCCCGGTAGTTGGTTCTGGAAGCGACTATGCTCCGTTCTACCACGTTGTTGGAGTACCTGTAGCAGATCTTTCGTACCAAATGGGCTACGGAAATAAATCCGTGCCCTATCCTGTCTATCACTCTCAACATGATACCTTTTACTGGATTACTAAATTTATAGATCCTGAATTCCTTGTGCACAAAGCCGTGGCTCAGTTTGGAGGGTCTGTGCTTCTGACCCTCGCAGACTCTCCACTGTTACCATTATCCGTGGATTTCTTTTCCAAACGACTGAATGATTCCTTTGGCAGCCTCTTGAAAAATGACGCATTCACAAAACAAAATATATCACTGAAGTACCTCGGAGAGGCTGTGGACGAGTTCGTTTTGACTGTTAGAAGGTTTACTGCGATGGCTTCCGAAATCAAGGAAAAAGAAGACAACCAGGCTGATGATTTGCTGCGTAGATTGAATGATCAGATGGTGCAGGTAGGAATACTTATTTTACCACAATTTTTTTCTCGCTTTCTGATTGGTTGAGAACCGTGGTGCTTGTGCAATTTCAACTCTTTGAAAAACACACTCGCGCGAATTAATCCCAAATTGAACTCGAAACCGTATGATTACCTTTACAAATTGAATCAAGCTTCGCAACGATTTCGCGTCCCAAACACTCGACTGAGATCTTGTACCATATTCTTGGGGTGCATGTGACGTCATAGGCGCCATTTTGGTTGACTTTGACAAAAGATTTGGTTTTGGCGGCCACGTCTTCCTTTCCTTTAATTGTGGTTACATCATGTATGTTTGTCTTAGAAAGGGATGCCAATAACATAAATCTCCTTTTTTCCAGGTTGAAAAAGCCTTTATTTATTCTGATGGCCTTCCTGGCAGGAAGCTTGTCAGACACGTCCTGTTTGCTCCAGAATTACACAATCTCTACGGGTCATCGAGCTTTCCTGGAGTCAATGATGCAATCTACGATGCTAAGACCAATGGAAATTGGATAGAAGTGGAAAAACAGATCTCGATAGCTTTGGAGTGTGTTTTGGCTGCTACAGAGGCTATTCAGCCTTTACAATAAAAACTGATTTGTATAATTCATTCCGAGGTTGAGGGAAAACTGGGTCGAGTTCGCATTGCAGTGCATTTTGGGGCTGTTTTAGGGGAACTTTTTAAAGATGACGTCCAATTCGTCCCCACAATGCGCTGCAATGCCAACTCGACCCAGTTTCCCCTCAACCTCGGAACGGCAAATTTAGAAACCACATTTTCCCCCCTGTTTGAATTTATCTCCGCCCTAAATTCTGGCGATCGTTTTCTCAATTTAAGCGAAAGTTTTTTTAAAGTGAGCGTTTGTGTATGAGGTTGTGAATTCTCGAAAAAAAATTAGAGGCCTCAAAAATATATCCCATGCCTTCGTATGACTTGCGTGACTATCAAAGTGTATGTTTGTTCATTTTGATTGAACGATACATATATTGATCTCACCACCTACAATACAAACACATCCCAAGGCTTGGCGTGACTAGCCTGACTATCAAGGTGTCCTGAATGTGAATTTCGATTAAATGGCAAGGAATTACACAGCTGTTCTTGGAGTCACGTTACTACTTCTTCATACAACATCCAAGATGATTGCCAATGCTGTATCTTTCTTTCTACTTTTCTTTTTTCTCTTCTTATTTGATTATTTTTCTTCCTACTTTAGAGAGTACTTTAATACCTACCTTTAGGACTTCAATTAAGGCTGTACTCGTATTAAAAAAAGGAAAAATAAAAAACATCAAAGATATTGAACAGAACATACATAATTTTAGGGAAAAAATTAATTTTTTATTCAGATTAAATTGCGTTTGTTTTATTTATTTAATTTTTTTTCTGCAAAGCTCGACACATGTCATCTTACTAGTACCATAAATCAAGCAAGTCTTATTATTCTTATTTATATCCAACGGAATATGTATGCCTTTTGCAACCACACTTCTTGTTTTATTTCGAGGAAAACCGTTCAATAGGTTTGCGTGTGACGATCAAACTATACTTCGCCGCAGTATAACAACCGACATCTTTTGCCTAAGTCGGCGTACTTTTTCGGTTATATTGCACGTAGCGCTGCTCAATCATAAGTAGCGATATTTGTAATAAGGGAGAGGGGGTGAATAGAAGTGTGCAAATCCGTCGATGCTCCTGAAAATTTGTCAAAATTCGAATCCGCAAATAATATGACAGTTGCTTGAATTGTATTTTTTGTCTCGGCCGACAAAAACAAACATAAAACATTTGTGAAGAGGTCTAGATCCGCGATCCGAACTCTATAGTGATTTGTTTTTGTGAAATCTGCCGATACACCTTTTCAGTGATTATGGTGATATTTATACCTCGCGGCTCGGTAAATATTCCACCGATAATCACTTCTCCTTCGGTGAATAATTGTTAAATGTATTTTTTCGCCGCCTGAGCGGAAATATTTGACACCAACTAGTATCTCTAACCCTTGAATGTCTGCTCTCGCGTCTGCTTTGATCCAATGGAAAATTAGCGCGAAAAAGAAAATAATCCAATCTTGCCTTTTGAAGAGGGAATCATGATATATGCGTTTTCTGATGCCCCGTGACCGGCCATGGCTTTCAATTAGTTAACCTAAAACACCCTCTGGGTACGGCTACATGAAACACAGATTGAAAGGGAATTTATTGTGCTGGGTTTTGTGGAGTTAGAAAACTGGAGAACCAGGAGAAAAATCCCTTAAACCAAGGTCCGGAGAGGAAAAAAAAGTCAACTAAAAAAAAAGGGTCTGGAGAGAAATCGAAGCCGATATACCCCAGAAATGTGAAGTGAGTATACACCGACTTTGTTACCAGCCTTGTCATTTTTTTAGTTGCTATTGAACATCATCTAAACGTCTTTAGAAATACGCTTCCACCTGCTTGATAAAGAACTGTAGAAATATTACGAATTAAGCAATTTTTAATTAATTATTGGAGTCTCTTTATAGTATACTTGTTATTAAAAATGAAAGGAATATTCGAGAAGATCTTTTTATATTATTATTCTCGTGCAGCTTTGGTATACAGCAGAGTAAAGAAAGGTGCTCTATATATTTACTCAAGTTGATTCAATAACTTGCCTCCTGCTCGATAGATATTATTACTTTCTTCGTGAGTACTCTTTGAGACGACCGCGAAGCCTCGATAAAATCTATTTTAAAGGTAATTTCCGATATCCTCTTTTTATTTCATAAATATATCAAAGCATTTAAAAAATAACTGATATAGATAAAGACCCACTTTTAGTCTCGTCAGGGTACTGAAAGCTGATTGAGTTAAACTTGTGATTTTTTTCCTGATACGACTTGACTTTTTAACTTAGTCGTTCCATTCGCGCCAAAATCCATTGCTACTTAACCAAAAATAAGTGTTGCCAAGAATATTAAGTGTTCAGTTACGACTTAAAACTCTTTATTTTATTAATAGTAGTAATTATTATCACACGGTTATAGATTTATTAGTATATCTTGTCCGAATGTATAGGTACGAGTGATGTTTTGAAAGTTTTCAAATTGGCGAGCCTTTATAAGGCTTGAGAACTTTCAAAACATCACGAGTATCTATAAATTCCGAATTCTACGAGAAGATTGTGTGATTTTTTGTTTATAATACACTCAAAAAAAAAAAAGAAAAAAAAAATTAATGTTTTGAAAGTTCTCAAGCCTTATAAAGGCTCGCCAATTTGAAAACTTTCAAAACATCACGAGTATCTATAAATTCCGAATTCTACGAGAAGATTGTGTGATTTTTTGTTTATAATACACTCAAAAAAAAAAAAAAAAAAAAGGAAGGAACTTAATTGGGACTCTGCAAAACTACAAGTGTTTCTGATCCTACGGTGTATATACTTTTTGGGTATAAATACAGCTGTAAAAGCCCAAGTTGGTATTGAATATTATTATATTAATATTATTAGCTTATGAGGTTTTCCGGAGGGAGGAAAACCTAGGAGAATAACCCTCGAATCAACTCTGTTGAGCTTTACATGTGCATGTGATGCCGAGTCAAGGAATCGAGCCCGACACCCAAAGAGGCCCGGGGTAATAGGCGGCGAATTGATGCATTACCGCCTCCTCACTCTTCTAATTCGTTTACCACTCCTGGGTGGACAGCTTAATGCCTAACAGGTTTTGCAACCCTATTGATAACGCAGCCGATAGATCAAATTAGAATTTAGACGTTGATTTTTGTGGAGGGAGAAAAAACTGGAGAACCCGTAGAAAACCCTCGAAGCACAGGAGAGAACCAACAAACAACTCTACTCACATACGACACCGAGACCGGGGGAGCTCGTAGCCGGGCCGTATTGGTGAGAGGCCGCGGCGCATTAGGAGCACACGCCACCCGTGCTTCTCTGATTCACTTAATCAATAAGTTATATGAACCCTAGCTTTTTAGTTCTTATTCTATATTTATTTCTATAGCATGATCTTATTCTATAATTAATCTTACAGTGTGAATGAGACCAAGCGTCTTTAACGGCGGGAATTGGAGCTTTTAAGTAGTGGTCACCAATATACGTTATCAATCTTTACTTTTATTTCCACAGTGCCCTGACTGTGCGTGATATCTTTGATCTTACCAAAGATATTAAAAAGCCGAGATAAACAACCTACGAAAAGATCATAACAAATTAAAAAGACTATACTCGACAACAATAATAAGCTTCTAATCTCTACACTATTCCTTTCAAATAATCTATATACAACGTGTACATGACCACCTTTTCATACTGTCAATTAATATTATAAACCACTATTAAATGAGAAGTTAGATTTTAGTGGTTTAAGGAGAAAAAATATTCGTTAATTAAGGGTATTTTTTCGTGAAATTAGAAAGTGATAATTATTCATGAATATTGATACACAGCATGTGAGGATGTCACATTTATTGTATCTAGTAAAAGAGTTTTTTAATAATTGCGTGCGTTTGGAAGAAGAACATCAACTGTCGATTTGGTGGCCATACTTTTAATAGAAATAAGAAGATTTTTTGACGTAAGTCAAGCTCCAAATATGTCGTTTACTTTTGTATACATTTTTTTAGTTTTTACTGTGTATGATTTTAAGAACTTAATGTCGTATTGTCTTAGCATCAAAAAAGGAATATTGTCGTTCACAAATATAATATCCCTGTCTTCCGTAGTAAACTTTAGGAAAATAAATAAGTACCAAGGTTTCCTGTTAGCATGATTAACTACATTGAATGTACCGAACAGGTGGAACTAGAGCGAAAATTAAGCAAGCAGTTTGCGAGAAAACATGCTACATTACTTAAAAATCAAAAAACACTGACTGAGTTTGTTTGTGGGGAGTTGGGAAGGATGGCAGAAATGGAACATCACACTACAACTTGGGAGGGAAGTAATCCCAAAACGGCTTAAAAACAATGAATGTATGTACCCTAAAGGCAGCTATTTATAATAATTTAATTAAAAGTCTTAGAAGCGGAGTGACACCCTTCAATTTCCTCGCTTAACACAAAACAAAGAAGTGCGAATCTGAAATTAATAAAGAGGGACAGTCTGTAGAAGTTGAGGCAATTCTTTATGAACAAGATCACATTTGCGAGAACGTCGAATTAAGTGAGAGCAGATTTTACACAGAGCAACCGGTATTAAATTGGACGAATTATCTAAGCTTTTTAAAACTGATAATAGCATTTTAAATTCACGCTTGCAGGTTATTAACGTGATCCGAAGTAAAAGAAGGTTTTAGGAAAAGCAGGAAGCAAAACGTAAAGTCGAAAAATCAACGTTAACAATGGACGACGAAGCACTCGGAGAAGCTAGATCATCTGGAGGATCTGATCATCTGTCAAATATAACATCTTGGAATTCATCATCTTTTGATTCTGAAAGCTTCCTAATGTCAGACGCAGTACCGCTTTGGGATACAGTTGTTTTAGGAATCATTGCTAGTTTATCATTATGTGGTAACGGAGTTGTCATTTTGCTCATCGGAACAAGGAAAAAACTGCGCAAGCATGCTTCGCCAAACTGGTTTGTTCTATCGCTTGCTCTGGCGGACATGTGTGTTGGTGGATTGTATGCACCGTCAAGATTCATCTGCAGGTTTGCTACCAGTTGTTCGGTGATAACGTGGAACATCATTTACTACTTTCAAAGCGTATTTCTGAGTTCTTCAGTGTTGAATCTGTGTGTCTTGACGTTTGATCGTTACTTGGCTGTCGTCCATCCTTTCACTTACCACAACGTCATGAACTCTGCGCGAGTGTTTCATCTCATACAATTAGCCTGGTGGGTAGCTGTGCTCCTCAATATACCCTTCTCGGTGATAGAGTTCCATCCTCAGTTTTATACTAACGAAGCTCGTATGGTCCACAGTGTGTCTCACATGGTCATCTTTGCTTTTGTTCCCAGCCTTTTCATGATCTACGCGTACATTGCCATTATGATTATCATCAGGCGGCACAAAACGATCATCATGCGACAAGAGATGCAAATTGCGGCAAATTTTCAGCAAGAAACAACTTGTAATCGCCAAAAAAATCACACTAAGGACGGCACAATGAGGGCTGTTGGAGTCATCGTGCTGATGTTTATCATTTGCAGTGGTCTTTTCCAGTGGCTTACCATCTGTAGTCTTTTAGATACTGGGGACATTGCTCCAGATAGCCTGGCATATTTTATTATTTTTACCTTGTTGAATTTTAAATCAGCAGTAAATGTTGTAGTTTATGCTTTGTTAAGGAAAGATTTTCAAAAAGAATTGAAGAATTTGTTGAGGACGTGCTGCTCCTGATTAATCAACCTAGAAGGAGATCAAGCAATGCTCGTCGATCGTGTAATTTTAGTCAAGAGATGAAGTAGTGTTAAAATATGCCCACCCTCGAGTCTACTTAAGAAAACCACCTTTCTTTTAATGAAAAATGCAAAACTTCAGATCAGTGCTGTAATTGAACACGCAACAGATCACTCACTCGATCGCAAAACCTCAGGTTTGGAACGAAGCATTTTATGCTGTCACTTATAATCGATTCCAGAAACAATTTTGTAACTTAGGAGTCGGTGATGATCATCATAAATATTTTGTAATGAATACATGGTGTTGACTGTATGCTTTACGCTGATGATACTCAGTTGTATATCTCACTAAATTCATCCAACAATGTTGATCGTTTGTCATCCCTCGAACGCTGTCTATAAGATGTTACAAAATGGCTCAACAACAGAAAAGTAGTCTGTAATCAAAGAAAAACCGAGGTCCCTCACTTCACATCTCGTTTTTGACAACTCGACCTGAGCAACTTTCAATCAATCTCAATGGTATCGATATAATTCCTCCTTGTGCTGAAACAAGTAATCTTGGTGTTGTCCTTGATAGCCATCTTCCACTTAACCGCCATGTTAATAATATCTGTATATCTGCATCCATCGCTATTCGTAACATCGGCGAGGCAAAGACACTCATAGGGCGCGTAAACGTAACCTATGGGTGTTCAAACTATTTACAATTAGATATGCTCTACAATAAAGTATTTACAAATTTAACAATTATTTACGATATACATCAGACCATTTAGTAAATGCAGAACATAAGAAATACTTTWRAAATAATATAAATCTAAAATTTGTAAAAGWAATAGATTACATCATGCGTAAAATTTATAACTTCTTATTAAAAATTCAGTTCATAATAAGAATTCAGTTCATTATTATTATTATTATTATTATTATTATTATTATTATTGTTATTATTATTATATGGTGGTGACGATGACGATCATATTGATGGTGATGATGATATTTTATTCAAAATGATGATGATGATGAGGAAGAAGGTGGTGAAAATCATGATCATGTTCATGATGGCGATGATGATGGTGACGATGATGATAGTGGTGATGACGGGGTGGTGGCGGCGGTAGACATGATGATCTTAATCTTAATGATGATGACGCTGGTTGTAAAAATAAGATGATAGCGATAATGAAAATGTTGGGATACGATGTGGATAATGATGGTGGTAATGATTAGGATATGTATAAATATTAATGATAGTAACAATGAAAATGAGATGATGATGATGATGTCGACAATGTCGGGAGTTGTGATCAAGATGACTAACAGTAGTCAATTGAGATGATGGTGGTGATGATATTGTTGGGTGGGGAGGGGGGGGGGGGGTGATGACAATGCTGGTAGTGAAAATGAGGTAGTGGTGGTGATTAAGTGGCCCATGGTGGCCCATAAGTGACCCAAAATTAAGAAGATATAGTGTTGATAACAATGTTGGTGGGTGTAGTGATGAAGATAACAAAGATGTTAGAAAAAGAGACGATGATGGTAATAACAAGGTAGGAGCCGGCTGGCGTCGATGATGATGACAACCTGCTGTGCATTGATTAAAAACAAAACAGATCGATTTGGTAATAATGATAATGGTTCTTGCTAATGATGACTCCACGCCAACGCGCACCAAAAAATAAGGTTATTATCTATAATTTATACGCTGATAATACGCAATATTTAGCGAGTTGCCCATCTGCAATAATGGTGAAGCCGAAAAATGAAACAAAAAATTTGTACTTACAAAACTACCGAATACCTAATTAGGAAGATTAATTTAATTTGAGTTTTAACATGACATCTCGAAGGAAGTTGAAAGCTCGCTTATTAAAGTGTCTGTGAAAAGATTATCTTAAAATAATTCAGTAATTAACAACGGACAGCTCTATTCATTTTGTATTGTCTTTTTTCCCCCGAGAATACTGAAAGCTACTTAAATCGGGACTTGCCATCGCCTTTCCTATTACATTGTCTTTTATTACAGTATCTTTTCTTTGATTATTGGTGGATATCAAGGATGACTGAAAAGAAATTTTAGCAGTCTAAAGACTTTGCGTGATACTGAAGGAAATGACCCACGTTGTGTTTGGTCGTTGAGTTGCTNCTGATTCCAGAACACGGGCCAGAACTGGATATCTATACTGTGTGTTTCCTGAACTCCTTTTCCGTAAATGGGAGGTTTTTATCATTGACTACTAGTGTACTTCTGTTTCATCAGGCCTGTCATTGGGACTTACTGATAGAGGTAGGTGAGAGAGCCCCTCGCAGTTGGCGTGCTGCTTGGTGTTTCGACGTTGAATAGTATACAAAAAGGCTCCCAGGAAGAGGCACCAACGTTGTAGCCTGGCAGCAGCTGTAACAGAGACTGTCTTCCTGTCCTTTGTAATAAGTTTGAAACTTTTTAACTCACTACTACACTTTCGACAAAGCCACTTTCTTTAATCTGTGCAAACTTTCTCTCTCGCTTAGTCAAGGAGCGTGACGCGTAGGCAATTCTTTGCTTGCAATCACGTGACAATTTGACTGAAATTTTGCTTCCGGTTTCCAAGTGACGGTCAAGTAAACAAAGATGGCGGCTCGCTTGGGTCAAGTTAACGATCAATCTACCACAAAAAGCGCTCTTTCAGAGTAGGCTAGTTATCTTGACTTGAGTGCTTTCAGAAATTCTCACGGTACGCTTCCACGCTGCAAAGTCTTACGAAAATTTCGATGGAAACATTTGCTATAAAATTCTCTTGGACGAAATACATCGTAATTAAGTTTTTTTTGAAGATTTTAATGGTTCTTGCTTTGAAACATCGTGGTGTTTTGGGGGAAAACAGGGCAACGTACATACACATAACGTCTCGCAGAACAAATGAGAGATCCCGACAATAGATATAAACAATGATCGAGTATCGCACAGAGCAGATTACAAAATATTTTGGCACATGAGCATTAGTGTACGCGCTATGTTGAATGTGGGATACTTTTTAAACCTTCATTGTGCTCTTTGATCTTTAGTGGTAAATGTTTTTAGTTCTTATGCCGTAGCTTGAAAAGAAATGCGAACGTCTCAATTCGAACGAAAAGATACAAGGCTTGTCTTTGAGCAGTGCACCGTCACCAATCTACTCCAAATTTACATCTTTTGGTGCTTCAAAAATATTACCGAATCCAAGAATTTAAATACTTTAAATCAGGGTATTAATAACTGAAAACTGATGATTTCAGACATCAACCTTTAAAGTTGTAAAGTACGCACTGGTTGTTAGGACCTAGTTTAAATAATAACTGATACCAAAAACATGTCCTCAGATGCACACAAAGCTACTACATATAAGCTTACTTCAGAAAGTATATATGCATCAACTGTTAGTTACATAGATAAACTCGCCAGTTTTAATATCAAGAGAGAATTCTTTTCGTATTCAAGCAGTGAGCGCCAAAAACTATTTTCTTGGAGAAAGGCTGTTGTACAAGGCTAAAATCCGTTATTTAGAAAGTTTAAGTTGGTTGGAAGTGGAGATGACCGATGAAAGTGGAATCAAAGTGTGCAAAAATTTTATTCGAAAATGAGGTATCAATTTCAGGTAGTAGAAGATGAAAACACTTCTTTAGAAGCGAACCAGGAAGAGGATTAAGTATACGACTCACACACTGTCTAGTAAAATTATTCGCTTTAACTTCATTTTAATTACTTCCATATATATATATATTTATTTAATATATTAATTTTCAAGTTTTATTCTTAATGACTTTTTTTGGCACAGAAGTGTATTATTCCTTATTCGTAAAAATGCGCAGGTGATTATAGAAAATCTCGCGCGCTGATTGGTCAAGAAACTCACGCATAATAAACACGATATTCAGCTCGAGCGAAAATCCAAAATGGCAGCCAGCCGCTTTGTTCCTGTTTCCGGGGAAAAAATGCCTTTTATCTTCTTTTTTTCCCTTTTTTTGAAAGAATCACCTGTGTATTTATACTAAAACAATTATTTGCCTCAGGCTCAGTGATTATTGGGGAATATTTACTTCACCGGTCGAAGACTCACGTCTCGGTAAATATTCCCCGATAATCACTTCGCCTTCGGCGAATAATTGTTAATTATTATATAGTTAGGATATTACGCGCACGCTGATTGGTCGAAAACCGTGCTTTTTCAGTGGACGGAGCACAGTGCTGACGCCATCCGCGCGCGCGAAGTTCTGCTAGATCCTGCGCACGACCGTCCTTTTTGCGTAAATAAATTCAATACCGAAAAGAAATTAGTAGCTATATAATAAAACGAATAAAACAGCTTTTTCCGTGCTCCGTTCATTAATAAAGCACTTAGGAAACGCCGCAAGCACTCGAAGTGTGAGAAGTACTCGCCTATAGTCTACGGCTCGTGCTTCTCCTTACACTTCTTTCGTGTTACGTTACTTCCTGTTTCCTATTAACTGAACGGAGCACGAAAAAAGCTGTTTTATTTGTTAATTACATGATATTTTTCGAGATTTTTGGAAAGTTTTGCAAAGAAAATGGGTGTTGCGAAGATAAAATGGCAAATTCCATTAATGATAATTTCAAAGCAGGGATGAAATACATTTTCTAATAATGAGAACCAAGTACTAGCTTTTATATTGATCCCTGAGTTCGACACTCAATGATTTGTACGAGTATTCTATATACTCACTGAAGCCAATGAGCTAACACGTTACGTAGTAAGGGTGGTTTTTTAAAGGAATTTGCGCCTATTTTGAAAAGAATTATGAATGAGCGACAATGAAATTACAAAATCATTTGAAGTGACTCAGAATACGATTTTTCCTCAAAATTGCAAAATTAAAGTGTTGCGAAATATGCGACCTCGAAATCCTCGACCCGAAATCGTGTTGCGAAATTTTAGTTGATAAAGAATCTAGTGAGATTGGTCGACAAAGGCTTAAACACAACAGTGGATTTTAAGGTTTAGCGTTGGTTGATATATCGGGTTGTGTTCACAGTGCCCTATAGCTTGTAAATACGGCTATGTTGTCGAATGTCTTATTGAGAGCGTTCGGATCCAACCCCCGTGAAGTGATATCCTGGCTGTTAAGCTGAGACAAGCTGCTCAAAGGAGCGACTCTCCTACTACGAGGGCGAAAAAGGTTAACTGCCTCAGATCTGAATCTTTGATTTCTCCAGGCGTAGACCACAGGGTTTATTGCCGAGGAACAGCACATTATAGTGAAACAAATTTCAACTGCAAGTTTGTTGGATGAATCGATCATTAGTAACAGCGTTATCGGCAAGAAGCTGATAACGAAGGAACTAACGATGATGGAGGCTGTCTTAGACGCTCTGTTCTCGAAATCGATCGTTGCAAGTTTATAATTATAAGTTAGTGACTTGGCTTGGCGAACGATCATTTTTCGTTGCTTTTGAGACACGTGGAAGATTTTGGCATACATGGAAATAAACAGTAAAACGGCACAGATCCTGATATGAGGGGTGAACTGTTTGAAAATAGTCAATGTTCGCAGCACACCTTCGATTATTGACAGGACCCAGATGAAACCGATACAAAACAGGACATTCCTCTTGGACATAATGGACTTGTATCTCAATGGATAGAAGATGGCAACTACTCGATTTGCGGTCATTAAGAGAAGATTATTGAGCGATGCATAGAGCGATGTTGAAGTAACAATATAGTAGAAGACCATAAAGTGCTTGCTGGTAAAACCAATCAAACTGAGGACATAAATAGGCTGAGTGAAGACACAGACCAGAAGATCTGCTACAGAAAGACTGACGATGCAGAAGTTGACTCCTGCTTGCAGAAGAGGGTTTTTCCACACAGCCAAGCAAGTGACTGCATTGCCAATGATACCAATGACACCGAACAGGACATTGACAACTGCAAGTATGATGACAGCAATCAACCCTATCTGACCTTCCACCGATGTTCGATCGTTCGCCATACTTCAATTGTTTTGTAAATAAGTGGTAGCAACTATTGGAGGATCCTTAGCAAGTACCAAAAATCCAAAAAAGATTAAGTGTACTCGTTTTCTTCAGTGGGGTTTGAAACTTGATTTCTCTTCCTTTGTCAAGTTCAATTGATTTGTAAATAGGAGGGAGCAATCGTATTGTAAAATCCAAAGCCGGAACTAGAGATCCAAGGAGATAAATTGTACTTAAGCAAAACCCTACGTGACAGCAACTAAGAGAGATCCCAAAGCATGAACCAGAGATCCAAAAAGATAAATTGGACTTGAACAAAACCGTATCCTTGTTTTCTTTTGTTTCAAGTCTTAATTTCTTAATTTGATTGCCAAATTTAATTATTGAACTGGAATCTTTTGTAGAATCCAAACCATGAACCAGAAATCCAAGACCTGATTAATTGTTCTTAAAAACTCTTTTCCTTGTTTACTTGAGGGCTTGACCCAAAGACTTGCTTTCTCTTTAATTGTCAAGTGTTACCTGGCAACGGGTGCATGTCAGTTATTTTGAGTTCAGTTTAATCACTCACGCACCAGCTGCAGTTCTTTTGCGCAATTTGATCAACGCTACATTAACAGATGGCGCTCGTTACCGTTCCATCTAGTTCCAAATCGTGTTTGCCTGAGAGTACACAAAACCGTCGTTCTCGTAAAAATCAGATTTTAATGAACGTTCAGTATATTGCACTCGCTAACTAACTTAACAGGTTAAAGTCTTCATCACATAGGGGTGTATATAATGTACCTGGCAGATTGATCCTATTGGTTGAGGATTTCCTCCACTTGTGTTCTCGTTAGCAGTATCTTGTATGAATCACCAATCTGTAATGAAAAGTTCAATGAATTACGTAGAAATCTTTAATGACTGTGTATCTGGATAGTCCAAGTCATATTTTCTGTCCAGGAAAAAAAATTCACTGGTTGAATTCTTCAGCCCAGATTTGTTTTCTATATATTAATTTTTTTATTTATCTATTAACTAGCATTATGTAACTACCCGGTCAACATCAATTTGTAGGAGATCAAGCGATAGGACACGGAGTTCCTTACAAAGGTCAATCAATTGCCAAGGACAAACTAAATACTAACCGCAATGACTGTTAAAACTAATGCTGCACTTTCAGATAGAACCCTGAAACAACCTCTGGGCTGATGTAAGTCATGGCACGGCTAACTCACAGATCCAACCCTGAAACAACCATGAAACAACCTCTGGGCTGATCTAATGTTATAAGTTAGGGCACGGCTAACTTCCAGATCCATCCCCGAAACAGCCTCTGGCCTGGGCTGATGGGGATGGCTAACTCGCAGATCGAATTGGACTTTAGTCCGTTAGGTTTTTGGGAATGAGGAAAACTAGAGAACCCGGCGACAAAACCTCGAATCAAGAGAGTGATCTAACCTCCTCCGTATGCATTTCCTTGGCTCTTTTTGCTCCTTGGGCATCCTGTGGTGAGGATAAAAAGTCCTCTTCCCCATTCCTCCTCCTCTCTCGTTTCTCGTAAAATCCAAGCTCTTCTCTGCCATACGATTTAGCACAGGGATCCCAACGGAGAATGTATGAGATAGACTGCGAGGAGGCTAAGAGAGGTATGACAAACTGTACATGATGCTACAAGTTGTTCCGCAGCTATCATAAAGCCATTCTTCGTTATCGAACAAATCAGAACGCTATAATATCCTACCAGCAGGAATCTTCCAAGACTCTACATGGAAAAGCTCAACTGTTCAACTCTTACTTCTCCGTATTTCTTCCACCGAGCCCCTTCACAGACGTAGGAACGCCATCACTACCCATAAAAGCTAACGAGGAAGTACGCGATCTTTCACTCACAGAGGATGAGGTACTGAAGTGTTTGAGTGCTTTGGATGTTACAAAGGCTTGCGGCCCTGACGGTATTCCTCCTCTCCTTCTAAAAGAATGCAGTCAAGAAATTGCACCTAGTATCTGTGCTCTTTTTAATCATTCACTGAGCATTGGTCACACCTGCCTCCTGAGTGGAAATCTGCTGATGTCACACCCATTCACAAGAGAGACTCCAAGGAACTAGCTGAAAACTACAGACCTATTTCGCCGCTGCCCATCATAAGCTAGGTGTTTAAGCGCTGTGTTTACAACATAATCTACGACCACATGTTGAAGCTGATCACCACTGCACAGCATGGATTCCTTAGACACCGCTCTTGTGTCACTCAGCTGCTCTCAGTATTGCACACTATTGGAGAATCCCTTGATAAAACACTCAGGTTGATATCATCTATCTAGACTTTGCCAAAGCATTCGACAAAGTCGACCATAAGATCCTCTTAAGTAAGCAAAGAACGTACGGCATTGGTGGGATGCTCCTGAACTGGTTCCAGGACTATTTAAATTATCGTTCTCAAAGAGTTGTGGTCGACGGTGTTGCATCTTTCTAGGCTCCAGTCACCTCCGGAGTACCTCAAGGCAGCATTCTGGGTCCTCTTATTGTTTTATTTATAAACGATCTTCCTGATGTCATTTCCAAGGAAACTACGGCTGCTATATGTACGCTGACGACACCAAGATATTTCATAAAGTTACTTCCCATCGCGACTGCGAAGACCTTGAAAATGCGCTGTCTAGGCTTAATGTTTGGAGCTTCAACAACAACATCAAATTCAATGGCTCCAAATGTAAGCTGTTGACAGTGACACGCAAAAAAAGTCCAATCCTGCATGATTACCACTTTAGCGCAGACGTAATCCAACGTACACAAGAGGGAAAAGATCTCGGAGTCACCATCACAAGTAACCTTAACTGGGACGAGCATATTAGAACCATCACAGCCAAAGCTAACAAGCTTCTTGGTATGCTTAAGAGGACATGCCCTCAACTGACTGATATAAGATGCAGAAGAACACTATACCTAGCACATGTAAAATCTCAACTAGTGACTGCTTCTGAGGTATGGTCACCGAGCCTGTCTAAACTAAAAGAACAGATCGAAAGAGTACAGCGACGTGCCACCAGATGGATCCTCAGGACCAAGATTGGGGAACGACTTACAAACAAAGACTAAAGGACTTGCACTTGCTCCCTCTCTGCTTTGACAGAGAGATTAAGGATCTAATGTTCTTTTATAAATCATTATATGGACAGACAAATGTTAATGTTCACGATTTTGTCAAATTCTCCAAACATAGACGTACTCGTCTTACTCAAAATCCTGGCATGGTTCTTGAAACATCTTTTTGTAAAACCACTACTTTTAAATCATCTTACTTTAATAGGATAGTTTGCCTTTGGAACACCGTCTGTAAAGAGGCGCCAACTAGTGTTTTTTCTAGTCACTCTCAATTTCAATTGTTTCTAAGGCATAGGCACTTTTCTTTGCTTGAAGACACATTTGATGTTGATCTGACATGTATTGGTCATTAGTTCGTAAGTGTCCTTGTCATCGTACTCGATAATAACTGAACCTCAGGGACTTTTGTTTGTTTGAACTCCATTGATTATTTTTTGGCCGTTCTCGGTTCACTAGTTATCAGTTTTTACTACTATACTGACTGTATTAATTTTCCAAGACAGTTCTCTATTGATTTATATCGTTAGTCAAAAGGAAATGCCTAGCATGGGACCTAGAGTCCAGTTCGCACACTTTCCTCTTTGGGTAGCATGTTGGTTTTTTAATTTTCCTTCCTGATTGATACCCAACAAAAGTTGTAAAATCAAAAGTCCAGGAAATGAACATTTCATTACCAGTTGATAACTTGACTTACCAGTTTTACAGGAAAGCGCTTTTAATTTTCCAATCATACAACATGGTGTCCATATTTCTAAGTTCCCCCCCCCCCCCCCCATTTATTTACTTTACACAACAGCATTCACCTAGGCCTGTAATTCCTGGGCCGGGTTGTTCAAAGCTGGATTAGCGCTAATCCAGGATTAACTCTATAGGTCTCATTAAGAGTTAACTCAGGATTATCACTAATCGGGCTTTGAACAACTGGGCCCTGTGTGTAACTATAGGAGTCCAATTAACTCGGTCATGAGAAAAAGTTGTCGCAGCCATCACACGAGTCACACTCAAAGGTGTCCCTACTTGTGGGATTACTCTAATAGCGTACATCCGTATTTATCAACTACAAACGCTAGACTTTGCTTTACCTCTGAATAGAAAATAAACTTTATTCAAAAAATATACTGGCGTGAGGAACGTCGCGTCGTTGCTGTTGGTTCGTACAGAGCCAAGTACGAAACGGCCGTTACTGGAGTAACAAGTACAGATCGATTGTGTTAAAAAAACTCTTCGGCCTTTGGAGGCGTAAAGCAACATTTAAGCAGCGAAGGAGCACGAACACAAGATAACCTAACAAGTATAAATAAACGTTCATATTTGATTCAAATAATCGGGGRAAAAAAAAAACTATAATAATTCAACTACTTCAGTTGTCCTAGTGCCCTTGGTCGAGCTAGAAATAAACTAGCTCGTCGCTCAGCAGGGCATCGTTCAGGCTGCGGCAATGTTACCCTGTTGCCCGGGGCGACTCTGCTCCATGTAAATGGCCACTTGTAGTCGTACAAGATCTTTGTCGCCTTGGTAGAATTGATGTACTTCAAATTTACAGAAACTATTTGAAATCCACTTGATAATGGAGTGTTGTTGATCTTTATGCAAAGCCATTTCAAAAATGGTTTGCCAGTATAGAATGAATACGAATCAAGTACAATGAACAATTTGAAAGTGGAAATTTCCTGATCTGTAAATATAATAATAATAATAATAATAATATCGCATAAAAATGAAAAGAGTATTAGAGAAGAGATCAGGAGAGGTCAATAGATGATAATATTTAAGAGGCCTCCTCGCACGAAACGGGGCCAGACTTTTGCTTTGCTATCTAATTGCTTACCAAAAATTGCTCCTGCCTAACTCGATTACATTCAATCTCCTTTTATCTTTTCAACCACCCCTTTTTTTCATTCATTTATTCATTCATTCGTTCATTCATTCATTCATTTATTTTTCTGTTCGTTCGCTCGTTCGTTYGTTCGTCCGTCCGTCCGTCTGTTCGTTCGTTCGTTCGTTCGTTCAACAGAGTCTGTCTTAAAGACGAGAAACGTCATTAGATCAAGAAAAGGCAAGCATACAAACGAGAGAACTTACTTCGTAGATCATGTTATATTATGAACTTAGCCTGATGAACTTCTGTTAAAGTTTGAGTAAAACAAAGAATATGATGACCATAATATTATTAATATATATATATATAATATATTATTAAATTATTGTAACAAATTCGTTTATTACAGTCACTTTCACTTAGAAAAGACCACAGTATGATAGAATAGCGTAAATCGTTTCTGATATAATTCAAGACGATCGCACCAATGTCAAAAAGTATACAGCTTCTACGTATGTTTCTCCCTTATATAATAAAATAAATACGGCCTATACATCTGTCTTCGATTTTTTATTTTTCCAGCTTCTCCGCAAACAGTGCACGAAATTTTCTTAACTGAATTTAGTTCCTAATCATTCAATTCTCACCTTTTTTCAGCAACTCTTCTCTGTCGACTTTAAAACGCTCTCTGTTACATCTCATTAGCCTTCAAGGGTACAATTTCTAATGTCGATTCTTGAGCAATTAAGTCAGCAGTAGAAGAAAACTGAACCTGCGAAAGTCAGGAAATTAATTATACCTTTACTAATGAAATTCGAATTTTCTTTCATAACGACAGCTGTTATTTTTTTAGACGCATTGATCATGAACAACAGAATTAGAAGAGAAATATGTCTTCCAATGATCGTATATTTCCGGTATAAAGAAAAAAAAATCTTTTAAATGAGGGTGAGCCACTTAGTCCTACATCACTCCAAAGTTAACATTCCGTTTTGTGAATATGCAAAATGAGACAAAATACAGATGTTGTGTAAATAGCGTCTTATTTCAAATAAACTCAGCTCGTCGGTAATTAAATTTGAAACTTTAACACTTGGTCTCGACAATCGGTGGTTCATTACGAGAAGAGTAGTGGGATAATTGTTTTGCTATATAGACAACCACTAAAATAACCTAGACTCTTCCACAGTCTCTCGCTCGGCCGTTCCGTCTCAACGCTTCGGAACGGCCGAGCGAGAGACTGTGGAAAAGTCTATAAAATAACCCTTCTTTTATTTTTTAATTATTTTTTTTTTCGAAAAACCAGTCGATAGCTACACTAATGGAATTCATCTGAAGTCGTGGTTATGTAAACTGTGCAATCTTGTTGTCTAACCGAGTTGCATTCTCGTACTCAAAGCCTTCTCAGCTTTCTAACGTCGAATTCGATTTTTTGGTGAGAACGGTCTGGGTACGAGAATGACCGAGTCGTTGAATTGCTTTACCGACAATAATAAAAACTTTAGTTATTGAACAGAGTACACCGTTACCTGACTGATAATTTTCAGAACTACTTCATACTATAAATATACAATATACAATATAAAAATAGACTTATACAATTTAAAAATATTATAGGAATGAGTATATTTGAAAAAAATCCAAAAAAAAAAAAAAAAGAAATTCTATGTAAAATATATATTAATAAGGAAATAGATCATAATTAAATTAGATTAATATGTGTGTGTCTAAGTTGAATTTTTCTTAATAAACACTCGAGTAAACATGGTTTCGATAGTATCTTTTTTAAACCGTTCAACTGAGGAACTGTTAATGTTTCTGTCTTCTAAAGATAATGCCGGCGTTCCATAGGATGATTCTACGGTAGTATGAGGTCTTTTGACCAGGGTTGGTTTTGAACAGTGGAATTGTTTAGGTCTCCTTCAACCTTAAACCAACGCTCACTTTTGTTGACAAACACTTGGTTACATAGATACATATATTAGATGGTCTGTTTGTTTGTGTGTGTTTTTCCCCCTTTTCAGTGCATCTTTATAAAATCTACTAATTGTATATGAACTGTTAACCCTGAGTAAGTCAATGATTTTTCTCAAAGATCACTATCTATGGAAGGTCATTGTCCTAAAGATATGAAGGGAATGAAGGATTCTCTCTTTGTTCCCAGAACCTCCATCGGTGCGATTTTTGCATCGAAAGCTTGATTAAGTAATCACCCATTAATCTTTTACGAAAAAAATGATATGTGTAATCACTCCGTTCTTAGCCTGATAGTAGTGGTAGTGTATGTTATTAAAGTTGGGCCAAACTAGAAAAAGTATTTTATTATATAGATATCGATGAAATACCAGGTTTTCTCTAGTGTCGAAAATTTGATATCTTTCACCAATGGAAGATACCATATCTTTCACACGTGAAGATATCGCTGTTGACATAGTAACGTATTTTAATAAAGAATTTTTGAGCTTTTGTTTTATTTAAGTTTCATCGATATCTATATAATAAACAGAACATTACATGGGCGCTTGGAGATACGATTTTTTTCTTCTCGTGTTCAATTTAGATATCTCACTCGTTCGCTGCGCTCACTCCTGAGATATCAATTGAACACTCGAAGATAAAATTCGTATCTCCGCGCGGCCATGCATGTGATATCCTTTATATAATATATATGTTTCTATCTATCTATCTATCTATCTATCTATC